TATGTACATATATATGTATATATATATATGTATATATATATACAAGTATATTCGCTAAATTGGAAAAGGAAGAAAAAATAGGGTAATAAATGCAAGATTGATACATGCACAGTTCTAAAAAAGTACATGAAACCGAAACGATCGCTAGGAGTTGATTCGGAAATGTTAGTACATGTTGTTTTCAAAGCTCGGAACAGATGAAGCTTCTTAATGTGTTCGAATAGTGTTTCGGAGTTGATATGGCTAGGGCCTCATATCATGCCAATACTAGCAATAGAGACCTCACAGACCATAATTACACTTTACTCTGAGGGACTATCAAGAGACGAAATATCAAGATTAGGTGTTTGAAGGCAGGCGTGTCTCTGTGGATCCAGCGACACCAAGCAACTGGTTCCATTAGAGACAAGGCCAGAAGTGGGCACCCGAGATGCACGACTGAGGAAGATGATCAATAAATGTCATTCAAAACTATAAATCAAAGTGCTATATGAAAGACAAATGGGAAGCTTGCATTGAACTGCATGAACATAAGCTAATGAAAACCATTTGATACTCAGTGGCAACACTCCTTACATCTAACTGGATTTGAGAAGGGGGCTTGGCCGGTAGTTAGGTGCCACGTCCCCTTATCGTGAATCGTTTTCTTCTTAGTTTCATTATCATCATATTTTTTTCAACAGCCCATAACAACTACAAGGGATGTAAACCCCTTTTGACATATCGTCGTTGCCCAAACAATTACGGCATAGGAGTGATTGCGGCGGCGGCGTTAGTGGCATCCATGCCACGTAGACTTGACAAAGTTTGCCATGCTGGTGGCGGTAACACGAAATATTAATACTATTATACATTTCAAAACCCAATTTTTAAAATATAGACACGCGAAGTAAAAAAAAGTCATTATTAGGGCCTGTTAATCTATAACTGGATCTGCATAAAAAATTGTGGCCCTTGAGTGGGCAACTACCCCCTCCACCAAATAACTTCCCTGAAAAGGATACCTATATCAGGTCGAGCTCACAGCACTTTTTCCAATTTTTTCGTCATCGTATCATATTGTAAAGTCAGAAAGAGTAAAGATACCTTTTTTTTTAGCAACTGTACACGGCAGATACATTCCCCCTACTTCGGTAATTTTCATGCATATTCATATGTATACTGGGTATCTCTAACATGACACAAACCATCATAAGATTCTAGGATATTATGTTCCAAAATATTGTGTACCACTTGAAATATACAGTAAAACAACTCGACCTTAACTGTGGCTGCACACAAACCACTACACTGGGGATACCAAAAAATAACTAGTGCCAGCTCATAAACCCACAGAGATCCAACATTAGTGGTGATACAACATTTTCAACACATGGGGCGAGCTTGAGAGCTGTAAAGCCTTGTAAAAGCACGAGATAGGTTAAACTCAAGCTACTGTGTACTTCTGTACTACTGTACTTCTCTTTTCTTCTGTGAAAGAAAATCTCGCAAATATTCATTTCTTGAACTGGTTCAACACAGTTGTGAGACATTCATCCATGATTCTCAGGCGTTTCTCTAACCATCAATTTATTAATCATCAACATAATGTATATATGTACTATACAGACAGAAAATATGTAAAAAATTATGGATCCCGTATCCCCTTATTTCAGACTAATAGCTCCAGTCGTGCAACAATCGGCTATAATTGAAGTTCCTCTTTCTCCTTATAAGACAACTGTCTATAGCATCCTTCACTGTCGAGGTTATGATCAGTCACCCACTGTTTTTCTCCCAATTCAGGCTAGTTTCGCCCGGGCCGTACATATTTTGTAGCCTGGCCTGTGTCAGCTATTTAGAGGTCTCAAATGATTCATCATGGTGGTCGGATTGCTAGCAAGCGATCTAGCTTCCACGATGTAAGCAAGGGACATGATCATCTCATTAGCCTGTCGATGGTCTCTCGCCACATGCTTACAATAGCTGTCTGCATGGTCAATGGTGTCGATAATTTACCATGCACAATGGTAACCTAGACTAATTCTGTGAAGAATGACTTTTAGTAATTGTTGCAGAGAATGGCTCATATTCTGTGGCATCTGAGTACCATCTGACCGAGGGGAAGGTCCTTGCTTTCTCTCTGTGTAACTGCAGGACAGCGGCCTGATCATGGTATTTAGGGGAATACCCCTGCCAATTTTAGTTAGTCTGTCAGAAGGCTCATTCCTTCTGATGCCAATGTGGTTGGGATCCAGTTTATGATTCTTCTTCTACCCTGAATCGTCTGCACTATAGTATAGATGTTGTCGGGCATGCTGTGCAGCAGCTTGTCAATGGCTACCCTGGAATCTGTATGTATAATCACGTACCCTTTGGCAACTGTTCATATACGAGTTTTCGAATTTTAATCTTATGTGTTAATTTTGGAATTCTCCCATTTCTCTTCATGATCAGCAACATGGTATGACGACGATGTCTGTACAGAGAAGTATAAAACACAGACATACGTGTATATATATATATATATATATATATATATATATATATATATATATGTATGTATATATATATATATATATATATATATATATATATATATATCAATTCTTTCTCAATGAGTATTTATATATATGTTCTCTCTCAATGAGTATATATATATATAAATATATATATATATATATATATATATATATATATATATATATATATACATATATATAACAGCCACTATTCCAATGATGAACATTGAACAAGTTTGATCAGTCATGTGTCTAAAATCTTGCTACACGTACTTCAAGTAAAAGAATTCCTGGTTATTGTAGTTACTAGAGAAACAATTGGTTGTATTCATGTATCACCAGAAAAAATACTGGATTTTAACAACAAAATGTGGACTGTATTTGTTTAATTTTCAGGCGTCTGAGAAGGCATTTGACCGAGTACAATGGTGCAGGCTGGTGGAAATTTAGAATTGTTTAGAATTTGTCCGTGAGGCAAAATGCGTTAGTCAGAGCAGATGGAGAAGAAAGAAAAAAAATGTTCTTGGTAGATGTGTGAGACAAGGATGCAGTCACCCATATTGTTCTATATATACACTAAAGCGATGAAGCAAGCATCTTTTGGTATCTTTTGTTTACGGCAGTCAGCTTTGCAGGAGACAAGACAATTTTCTGTTCATCCGAAGAAGGCCTAAATATTAATTTTGCCTGTATTTCTAGATTTGAAAAGTGTTGTAACAAAGTTATGTGGGAAGTCACTGGTGACGAGAGATTTGATAGTAGTAACCCGTTCCAGGTAGACTCTTTGGTCAAGGGGTAACACTGTCGTTTGCTCCCAAAAGCATTTGTTTTATGCAGGTATATGATTAGAAGTTGAAGCAACAGTTTGTTCATATAAGATTTTTCGAATCTTAGCGAAGAAGTCTTCCGTGTTAGTTTTGGAATTGTCCCATTTCCTGTTTTAGCAGTCTGTTCATGATCAGCAACATGGCATAGAATGACGTCTGTATGGAGAAGGATGTTTATTTGTTATTTTTACATCTATTACTAAAGGATTTTTAATAATTTCTTGACAATCTGATTTGTCATCTTTTAGGTCACATAAAACAAAGAGAGGTTGTCTGTACTGCCTGCAGTGAATGAAATATACTACGTTGTACGGTTACCCAGATATCTTCCTGAATTACATCTGATACATAATATGTGAAGATTTCTTTCAATAATTAGTTTTAAAATGTTCTCAGAATGTCCAAGAGGGATTGTGCGTATAGATTTTCTATTTAACTGCAGTGTGCTTTGACTAACGTGTGTTAAAACAGTGGAACATACCAGGAGTTTCGCTCACCTGAGAAAGTATGTGTCCTTGGCCTTGGAAGGAACCATGTGGATGATGCCGCTTGCATTGATGCTTTTTAGAAGACTATCATTCACGTCATTGCTTTCGTTCTGATGGCGACATGGTTTCAAAATTATTCAGAAGCAATGCTGATCATGAAAGAGTGTTGATCATGATAGCAGCAAATATATGCCGAATATATATATATTAAAACTGAAACTGGATTACCTTGAGGCGAAAGCTCACCAGTCCAAGAGTAACTGGGAAGAAGATTTCGAAGCGAGAGTCTTCGCGTACCAGTGCTTCGAACTCATGAGCCAATGCTATCTGGAGAATATATACCAAATGAATACTGTATACTTGCACACACACACACACACACACACACACACACACACACACACACACACACACACATACACACACACACACACACACACACACATTGTTAAGAATACAGAGCAAGGCCGGATGATACATTTCACACACTGTCCCCAGCAGCTGCCTTCCTCTGTGAGCGGACGCAGGTGCCCTGCCCGAGTTTCTATTTTATCACTCCTATGACGGAAGTAAACATCCCTCCACGGGAACTGCCGGATAAAAGGACACGTTTCGTCAGAAGGAGCGAAACACGGCAGACAGGCCAAGCCACACAGGGTCCAAGCTCCACCACTTCGTCCTCGACCCAGGGGGCAGGGTGTCTCTTGGGAGTCTCACATCTACTTTCAAACAATAAACCAATAAGCTAAGACCCCTTTCATTGACAAACCCAAGTCCATCTCGTGTGTCGTTCATACATATCACTAGCATGATCAAACATATAGACACACACAGGATGTTTATGCTTTCAATACAACGTAGCTGTGAGTTACCTGCTTCCTAATGTGGTCCTGCAGTCCCTGCCTGCCATACAACCGCATGACGAACCACAGCTTGAGAGAACGGAAACGCCTGCTTAATGGGATCTGCCAATGCTGGAAAGCAAAATGAGGTTAAATTCCTGAAAGAGATAAGAATGCACTCTCGATCCAATCAATGTCTCAGTCTGTGTGTGTGTGACACACACACACACACACACACACACACACACACACACATATATATATATATATATATATATGTATTATATAAATATATATATATTATATAAATATACAAATGTATATATGTATATATATGTGTATATATATATATATATATATATATATATATATATATATATATATATATATATATTATATAAATATACAAATGTGTGTATATATATATATATATATATATATATATATATATATTATATAAACATACAAATGTATATATATACATAAATATATATATATATATATATATATATATATATATATATATATATATATATATATATATATATATATATATATATATATATATACACATATATATATACACACACATGTATATTTATATATATCACACATATATATATATATCATATGATCAGCCATAATCATCTTATTTATAATTATCTGTTTTATCTGCTTTATATTATAATACTAGTAACGTATATATTGCATACCTACGAGCTCTGCATTTTATTCACCGTTTCCCCTCAAAAAAGAGCAAGGAAGTAACATATAAAACATGGTGGCAGCTATACTCCAAATATAGACAAAGAGGGGAAAGAGGTAATGAATTGGAGATACCGAAATGTGGACATTAAAATATGAGAGGTAAGCGACCAACCAACAAAGAGACCAGTGCCACTTTGCGCCTAATTCACGAAAGATTCATTCAGTGAAGAAATCAAGACAAATAAGACTGAAGTATATAAAAAGCATACGAAAGTAATTTACAGTTCGCTTCATAGTTCCTGTCTTAATGCTCGCACTGCCACGCTAGCAGTTATCAAAATGGCTGGCGCCGAATATTGCTGTCACTCACCAAGTATGAATTAGAAAACTAGCGATTCTTATAACGTATCATATTCTTTAAAATTAAGAAGATACTAAGAGAAGATCAGGGAAACCATATCATTTTGTACACAGATGCTCGCGGACATGGTAGGGGTAAACAATTGGACTGAAGAAGATATGAAAGACCCTGACAAAATTTGGGATGCTCTTCAGTCTCAGGTAAAACCTAAGACTAATAAATATGTCGATAGACTCCGTTTACGAAGATTCTTTCAAAGAAAAAATCAATCTAGTGATAAGTTCTTAAACAGATGTGAAGCTAAGAGCTGCAAATTTACCGAGACATAACACGAACCAAGAGTCATAAGGTTGAGTAAAGCCATGACATTGGCAGATCTTTTGAAGCAACCATAAGAGGTAACAGAGAGATGAGAGCCAAAATAGTCAATTATGGCTTAAATGTTGATACTGTTAGATATCAAAATTTTGCAAGGGCATCAAAACCATGCAAAAAATATGGGCGAGCACACAATAAATACTCCCCACAATCCTGCCCAGCATGGTGCTAGGTGCAATACATGTGGCAAGATGAACCACTGGAAAAAATGTGTCTATCAATAACTAAAAAAAAAAAAAAAAAAAAAATACAAAAGTCCATAGGAGCTACATCAGTGACAAGTCCAAGAAAGCTATCAGAACATCAGCAGTACGTGAGTTCAGTCAAGATGACTCTAATGAGTATTATTTCACAGTACTTTTAGAGTAGCAGAAGTGTCAAACAGTGATGATGATGAAACTCTACGATCTATCAAAGTCAGGACCCCAGCAACAAGACTGATATAATGACAATCAGAGTCGATACAGGAGCTGAAGCAAACATGCTTCCGAAAAGAGCATTGAATTATGTGCCCAGATTTATTAGATGCTTATGGAAAGCCGAAAACCTGCCTGACCAATAACCGTCAAAAGAATTTGGTTGCTGTGAACAATTTGAAACCCAAACATTTTGAGTCGATTAAATTCAAATGCACATGCGACGAGACAAATTGGATCGAAACAGACTTCTACACTTCTACCAAGAAGTTGGACCAATTATTTTGGGTCTGCCAAGTCTGAAAGCCCTAGGCATGGTCACAATTCATGAGACACGAATGTACCCTCAAACAGCCATGGCCGTCCAGTCCGTGGCCGATTTAAAGAAATTATAGCCAGATCAATTTGATAAAATTGGACATTTTTATAGAAAATACCACATAGTACTGAAAGAAGGTTCAAAACCAGTTGTCCATGCGCCAAGAAAATTTCCTGCACATAAAAAGGAAGAACTTTAAAACCAGCTTAAAGAAATGGAAAAAAATAGGAGTTATCAAAAAAGGTGTCGGAACCTACAGATTGGGTTAACAGCATAATCTGCACCATGAAGAAAGATGGTAGTCTATGCGTGTTTAAATCCAAAAGACTTGAGCAAAGCTATAAAGAGAAGCCATCACAAGTCTACACAAGACGAAATCACACACAAATTTGCAGATTTAAGATTTTTCAGCGAACTTGATGCAAAGAATGGCAATTGATCTGTCAAGTCTGATGAAACCAGTTCATTCCACACTACATTCAACTCTCCTTTTGGCCGCTACTGATATCTCAGAATGCCTTTTGGTCTGGTTAAGTCACAAGATTTTTCCGGCAAATAGTGGATCAGATCCTTGAAAACTGTTCTGGTACCATTGGTATTGCTGATGATGTATTTGTGTTTGGGAAAATGGAAGAGGAGCATGACATAAATCTGCATAAC